ATATAATGCTATCAGTATTAAATGTCCTCTGAATGTATTGTTTCTTTTCATTTTTTTAATTTCCTCAGAGTAAGTATGCATATAATCCATCTCTTGGTGAGACTGATCAACTGACTTGGTGAATTGGGAGGTACAGTGAATCAATAGCTTAGAATGGCCCCTGTCTCTTCTTTAATGGATCTTCCTCTCTAAGTTACTCTAGTACCAGGTAGCTTATTGCCTTTGATGTTAGCTCTGTCACTAGAAATAAATAAAGCTCCATGATGTCATGGAGTCAACATGCACACTGAATGTTCCCACATACTATTGGAGGTGTTTATCAAAAATAAACAGGAAATAAATAAGCAGGAAACCACTGCACTGTGCTTCTTGCTGAGGGCTGGCTCATGAGGGGTCAAGAGTTCAAACTGTTTAAAGTACTTTTTTAATTTTCAATTTCTTCCTGGGTTATTTAAAAATCCAGCCTAATAAAGTCCATCTATCTCTCATTTACCATTTAGAGTGAGTACTGACACTGAAATCCAAAAAGGACTCTATGAAATCGATGCATTTTATTTACATGGAGAGTCTGGATCTGGACACTCTGCAATGTGAACCACTAGTGCACTCACTGGTCAAGAAGCATAGCCACACACATGCAGAAACAGAAGGTTGGGTGTCTGTGTGCATGTTAAGAAAAGGGGAGAAAGGCTTAATTACGCAAGGCAAGCCTTCAGAGATTGCTGTTTCTTGCCTCTTAAGAGAAAGGGCCATGGGCTTCTTGTACAGAAATGGCTTATGGAACCAGGTGATTCATTAAATCCTGGCTTGTATTCCCGCGTGATACCCACATGCCCTAGCACACAGTAAAATTCTTTTGTACTTGTTTACTGAAAGTGAAAGAGACAAGAAAGTATATTTGACTTTGAAATTATGATTTATCTGGCTAGTTTGGGTAATGTGGTGATATTACTTTCCAACTGAAAAATTCTTCAGAATCAAATTTAAAAGGAGGCTTCAGATAGAAGGCTAGAATAGCAATAAATGAAATTGTTACATGGACTCATTGCCTATTTTGTTGAAAATAGAAAAAAATGACGCTTGAGTTTTGTAGATGTGTATCTGACTTTTTAAAAAAGATGTATTAAAACTCTTCCTCCCTGTTGCTCAGTAGAACAACTTGAGAATCTCCCCTGAAATATCTGTGCATGAGGCACTCATTGAGCTAGGAGACAAAAAGCCAGAAAAGGAGGGGCCTGCAGTTTTGTCTCTCACTTATGATTTCTTCACATACCTGGTATTTTTCTTGATTCTGTAAGAATCTTAGGATCCTTTTACTATTTCTGTAGAAAAACATTGACATTTTGATGGACATTACACTGAATCTGAAGATTACCTTGCAGCGTGTAATTATTTTAACAGTTTGGACCCTTCTAACTCAAGTATAGCCATGTCTGTCTCAGGATTCGTTTTTACCTCACTTTCTTTCATTAATGTCTTACACTTTTCAGTACAGAGACTGTTTGCATCCTTCACTGATTTTTTGATAGACTTTATGTCCAGAAATGTAGAATTCACACAAATAAAGCTCCATGATGTCATGGAGTCAAAATGCACACTGAATGTTCCCACAGACTAGTAGAGGTGTTTATCAAAAATAAGTGACATTGGATAGGAACTGTGGCTCTGCAATTTGGAACATTTGTTGCCCTTCCAGAAAACCAAGTTTGGCTCCCAACACTCAATTCTGGCAGCTCAAAACCACCAGTAACTCCAGATCCAGGGAGTCTAACACCCTGTTCTGTCCTCCATAGACACCTGAATACATGTGGCATACATAGTCATAGATAAAAGTAAAATTAAGTGTTTTAAAATTATGTAAGAACCTGAGCCACACTTGATGGCCTAGATACATTATCCTTGAATGAACTTCAAAAGCCAACAAAAGAGAATTTCTGCAGTTCAAGGCTATCCTGGGCTACATAGTGAGTTTGAGACCAACATCTGATACAAAAGGAAATTAAGTCTAAAAAAACAAAACAGAAGCAGAAACCCTAGTATCAGGGATCATGGAGACTAAAGAGGCTACCCTTTAACTAGACTGAACACCTAGTGGAGGGAGGGGAACACCAACCCACCACAAAACCCAAAAATTTACCCTGGCTACAAGATGTGCAGGGATAAAGATAAAACAGGGATTGAGGGAATGCCCAACCAATGCCTGGCCCAACCTGAGACCCACGCCATGGAAGAGAGCCAACTCCTGGCATTATTAACAATACTCAGCTATGCTTCCAGACAGGAGCTTAGCATAGCTGTTCTCTAAGGGTTCCCTCTCCCTCTGCCCCAGTAGCATAGGAAACAGATTCTGAGATTCACAGCCAAACATTGAGCAGAGCACTGGGAGCCTTGTGGAAGAGTGCAGGGCAAGAAGAGAAGGACCCAGAGGGGATAAGAGCTCCACAAGAAGATCAACAGAGCCAACTAACCTGGGCCCAGGGAGCCTTGTAGAGACTGATGCACCAACCAAGGACCATACATGGACTCAACCGCAGCCCCTTACACGCATGTAGCTGATGGGTAGCTTGGCCATCATGTGTACCCACTAGAAAGGGGAGAGTGGGCTGTCTCTGATATGGGCTCTGTTGCTTGCTTTTCAATCACTGCCCCCTGGTGGGGCTGCCTAGCCAGACCACAGGGGAAGAAGAGGTGTTAAGTACTGAGGCAACTTGATGAGCTGGTCTGAGCTGGTGTGGGGGGGTGAAAGGCAGGCTCCCATTACCTGAAGAGTAAGGGTGGAGGTATTGGAGGAAGAGGGAAGGATGATAGGAACAAGAGGAGAGGAGTGAAGAGGCTACAATCAGGATATAAAGTGAATTAATTAATTAAATGAGTTAATACTTAAGAGGTCTAAGTTTAGGAAATTAAAGCATGAGCACTCAGAGACAAAATACAAGGGCAAGGATTATAAGAATTACCAGAAATTGAACTTAGTACTTGCTAACATTTTCTATTTTTCAGTTCTAAAGCTTGAACTCAGGATCTCACACTTACTAGACAAATACTGTACTATCAAGCTACTTCTCCTGTACCAACCTTTTTTACTCCAAAAAGATTGCTTATTAGATTTCAATTTTGGGCTTTCAGTGAAAAACATGTTAATGGATTTATTTGTCTCCGAGTCCTCATGCTTTAATTTCCTAAATTTAGACTTCTCTTTCACACTCAGGAAAAAATGGTAAAGAGTTCCTACTTTGTGGGCTATAACAGTGTCATGGGCATAGACAAAGACAAGGTTAAGTCAGGTGGGATTAAGAAGAAATTGAAGATAGTTCATCTATATTATAAATATGAGGTTTCTACATCCTTTATTTAGGCTTTGAACCTCATACTCTACTCCCACGATGAAAAGAGTATAATCAAATACTGGACAATTTTGTCAATATGTTGTCTTGTTTTTAGGTCAGCTGTACAAAGATCCATCCATAGCAGACTGGGATCAGCAGCAGCGCCCACTCACAGAAACCGAGTCATGGATTATTTCCTTACTTTTCCATCTTTCTCCTTGTTTTCCATCCACTTAACAACATATACTCCTTTATTAGCTACATTTTTAGTAAAGTTGTTCAAATTTATTCAATTTTCTTAATAATGTTTCTTTGTAGTAAATAATATATTAAAATAGGAGAAATTTAAAATGTAGAATGACATAATCTCATTTCCATTTAACTTATCCTTCTTAGCTTTCAGTCTTCAGTATAAATTTTTATTCAAAATACTATGCACTTTCCTGGAATAGACAAGTAATTTCTGTTTTGCTAGAATTTGTAAAAATCCCATCACATTAAGGAAAAAAACAATTGAATTCTAAGTCTTACCTTCCAGCTTTATAATTTTCTCAGTATTTGTTTTATACTTCTCATAGCCTAGCAAAACTCATCTTTTCCAGTCTCATAATGATGATCATGTAAGTCAAAGTGGATCTTGCTCATAGGAAAAATATGAAGTTCAATTTGAGAAAATATTTCTCATATTTTTTAACAAGTTCAATAATATACCAACAAAAACTAAGACTCTTGCACATCCATTAACAGTAACACAGAGATTTTTAACACCCCTCTAAGTCTCTGTAAGTACTGATATTTACATCATGCATGTGTATTAAATGTGTATGCAAATATGGCTAGAACTCAAGCCAAATTTTATAACTATGTTCTCAAAACCCAATTTAAAAATGGGAAATTATCGGATTTTTGAGAGTTATACTTACTCTTGGATATGTATAACCTAGGTAATATTTGCATAGTATCTGTTAGAAAGGTTGACTCCATACATTAACTTAAGGTCGATAACTTTAAGTTATGAAGACATCCTCTAGATGATGACAGTGCTGACATCATTAGACAGGTTTTGCTGGAGTGTACACTAAGTGCAGGATGCAAAAAAACAGTTCTGGATCCACACTCCTCTGTAAAGACAATTATACTTCATGGATCACTTTTCTTATCTGTAAACAGGTTACTTTGTAATGACTGTTATCATATATTCATTGTAAAATTAAATTTAAAAGCCTCAGAATTTTGGAGACCAACTCCTTACATAAAAAGACCTACTTTCTATCTTTGCCCAGGCAATTCATCCACAAAATAAAATAATGTTGCTACTTACCTAGGTTGTTTTGAGAAATAAGTGAATTCATATATAATGGCTAATGTTTAGCCTGACACATAGAAGGCACAAATACACACACACACACACACACACACACACACACACACACACACATACACACACACACAGCATAAAGGCAAAGATTTTGACAGCTTACAGAAGTTTATAGTAGCAATGATTATTCCTATCACAAGTGATTATCCCACAAGTGATATACAAATGTATAAAGGTAAGAGGTAGTGCAAAGAAACAGAATTTAATATTAAGCAATCAATTAAGCATCATGTGATAGATGCTAAGTGTGCCATGGGTAAAGGAAACATCACGATTTTCTTGAATTCAAAGAGAGTCTATGAATATAATCTGACAGATGCCTTTCTCAGAGCATCCTTTACATCTCTGTTCCTCAGACTATAGATGAGGAGATTCAGCATAGGGATCACCACTGTATAGAATACAGACAGCACCTTGTTCTGTTCAGTAGAATAGTTCGACTTGGGCATCACATAAATGAATGTGATGGTCCCATAGTAGAGCGTGACCACAATGAGATGAGAGGTGCAGGTGGAGAAGGCCTTATGGCGGCCCTCAGTGGAGCGCATCTTCAGGATGGTGATAAGAATATAGATGTAGGAGACAGCTATAACAAGCACTGTCACCAAAATAATGGCGCCAGAAGAGAAAGAGGGGATGATGTCAATAATGGAGACATCTGAGCAGGACAGTTTCAGCAAAGGAGAGAAGTCACAGAAAAAGCGGTCTATCTGATTTGGTCCACAGAAGGACAGATTTAACAAACAACCAGTAAATGACCAACCATTCATGCAGCCACCAACATAGGAAGCTGCCAATAATAGAAAACAGACTCTGGAGAACATGAGTGTCGAGTAGAGGAGGGGTGAACAGATGGCTATGTAGCGATCATAAACCATGGCAGCCAGTAGGAAGCACTCAGCTGACCCAAATGACACTGTAATACAGAGTTGGGCCTCACAGGCAGCCACAGGTAAAGCCAGCCCATGCCCAAGGAGTTCCATAAGCATTATAACTGAGACTGAGGTTGAATATAAAATGTCTACAAAAGCCAGGTGCCTGAGAAATAGGTACATGAGTGTGTGCAACTGGGGAGAAATTCTTATCAGTGTGATGATGCCAAGATTGCCTGCTAAGGTGACAATGTATATGCCTAGAAATACACAAAAAAAGACTATACACAGTGTAGGGTCTTCTGTTAGTCCCAAAATAATTAGCTCTGTTACAGCAGTGTTGTTATCAGCCTCCATCTCTTATGTGAATTGTTCCTGTTGAAGAAAATAAAAAAATATTTTTACTTAGAATGTTTTCAATTTATACATTGCTAGTTAATTTGATTGTCCTCACAACTTGTGGGTTTTCTCCTCTGCTCAACACATAAATATTGTGTTCTTGTAATTGTGGTTTTGTCCCTTTGTCTTTGAAAGAAATGAGAATGATGAGCTTCCTTCTCTGTCATTCATTACTTTTTGCATGTACTATTCCTTAAATCTTACTACTCAATACTTCACAATTAGTATCTCTCTACAATGGTCCAGCTCTGTAATTTTAATTATCTATTTATTTTCGTGATGCTCATTGTTATTGAAAATCTCACAAACAACTCTCACACTGTGTTTCCATACAAAACTAATCCTTTTCTTTAAGCACTCCACCTATATTTTATAGCTGAGTGATATCATTCAGCTTCTCCTGTCTTTAATTCGGGAGCCTTCCTAGCCTTTTTTCATTGTACTGTATATAATAAAATATAATTGCAGCTGGGTGCAGTGGCACACACCTATAATCCCAGCACTCAGGGATGCAGAGGGAGGTAGATATCTGTTAGTTTGAGGCCATCCTGGTCTACAGAGCAAGTCCAGGACAGCCAAGGATACCCAGAGAAACCCTGTCTCAAAAAAAATGTATTTTATATTACATATTTATTTACATTACATATATTTATATTTTATATATATTATATGTATTATATATATTATATAATATATTTATATTACATATATATTGCATTCCATTTATTTCCAAATTTTACAGCTTTGTTAACACAAAAACAAAGCTGTCACCCCAAAGGTCACAGAACTAGTTTATTTTGGAGTCAAATATGAGTGATCATGGTCCAGGAACATGGAGTCAGGTTGCCCTAACTACCATTATCCTACGTGACAACAGTTTTATAAGGATTTTTGTAGTTACAGAACAACGGCAAAAAATAAAAATAAATAAATAAATAAATAAATAAATAAATAAATAAATAAATAAAAGCCATAGATCAAGTCACTTTACAAACACATTTGTGGAAACATGAGGTAGGCAGCTTATAGGAACAGTGGGGAAATCTCTGTTATAGGTCTCAGCCGTTGTCTAATTACACCCTTAGCTTTGGGGTTGGTAGAGGCTAATAATCGAAGAATACATACCTATAGATTTTGCATAACAGAACAAATATGTTATATTAGAAGCAGAAATGGTAAATGAATCGTTATTAATGGATATATGATAGCCCAAGAATATTTAAGGTAAGTTTAGATTTTTTTTTCAGTTCACATCCTCATCTCTTTTTTGTAATCATTGTGGTCAAAGCTATGGTCATTCTACCTTTGTATTTTGTTTACATCTTTTCCTCTCTTCTTTCATTATCTTTATTTTATTTTTCACAATAATATAAAATGGTGATCCCTTTATTTATAAAAATTTTTTCAATACTTTCTCAAATCTTCATAATATAACCTCATTAAACAGTGCACAACACACATGTCCTTGAACATAATCTTGTCTCTTAGGGTGTTTTTGCCCACTACGCACACCAAGGCAACTGTTCTCTGTTTTGGGTAATTTTTCCTCATTTTTTGACATTATTTTCTCTATAAAGCCTTCTCTGACTCCTACGGATAGATTAGATTATCTCTCTCTGTGTTATAAATGTCTCAATTCCCATTGAGGACACTGGGCTTTCCTTGATGGCCTTTGGTCTTTCATTCTTCTCAAACAGCATATAGCCCCATCAATAGAGGTTTTATATTCCTCATACAAATATACAGTGCTTGGGCATAAAATTGAATTTAAAAGTGGTAAACACAGGCACAAGCAGTGAACTGAATAGGCTCTGGGAATCAAGATATGAATATAAATTATGTCTCCTGCCAAGAAACACAGGTTTCAGAGAGAAAAAAAGCCAATGAAATAACACTACCATAGTACTATAAAGAATGGTTCTTTATTCTGATTTTTAAAGCTTTATATAAAAACATTGGAAAAAATAAAAAATTCAAAATAAACAACATACACATTAACAATGAGAAACTTGGTACATTTATAAGTCTTTCCCTTTCCCTTAATACATATCAACTTGCCTTTTAATATATAATATATACGTATACACATGCATTTACACACACATACACCAACACAGTATGTTTCTGTGTCTCACAAGTTAGCCTCAAATCTGAATCCTCCTGTTTCAGCTTCATGAAAGATATGCATACAATTATGGGTAGCCAAAATGCTCGACTTAGATATATTTTAATAGTGCTATATTTAGTTAAAGTAGAACTATAAGAATTTAGTTTACATTATGAATCCTTACCCATATAATTTTTGAAATATGCATGATAAGCATGAGTAAAACATAAATTAAATGATAACATTCTTTTCAGATATTCATCTTTAACAATTGTAAACTGTCACATCTAGAAAACCCAGAAATATCTCAACCACCATGATACTAACATGAAAAGTATGATAAATTATTATAGTCATCCAATTCTTACTTGGTTCTCTTAGAGCAGTAATTCAAAACACTTATCTTTTGGGTTCCAAGATAGGTTTATTGTCTAATTTTCAGTAATGAAAGCCACTAAGTCAAATCACTCCCTATAGCTCATTGATTTGTAGCATTCTTTGTTATTAAAGAGTTTATGGTACTGCATACCCTGAGTGATATTCAGGGATATGAAATACTTCATGGAACCTATTTCATTCTCCTGGGCTTAATATCCAGAGCACTGTAGTCTACATTCAATTATTTCTCTGAATGAATCTCCCAATAACATATAATCCCATCCAATTATATACTTTTCAAGACTCATGACAAAGGATGCTATGATTATCTCCTCATGCTAGATATAATACTCATGGTATACAATTTTTCTGGTGACAGTGTTTATGCAGATCTTGGGGATATTTAAATTTTACCAAAAACAGTAATATCAGTACTAAATATATTTCAAATATATCAATTCCTTAAAAGTTTTAATTGTTTTTTTAGTAAAAATAAGCATTTAATTTCTTTGATGATTCTTCCTGAGTTCATCCAGTAAGTTAACTGTGAAGAACAATGAATCAATAATTAAATATCTGTAGCCCATTCAAGAATTTCTTCTATCTTCTCTCCTCTGCTTTCTGACTGTGTTCAAAGAGCACTAGTAATAGACAACTTACTACCTCGACGTTAGCTCTATTATTAAAACTGTTTTTTTGTTGTATTAACTGTCAATATGCAGTGGTACAAACTATTTCATGCATGGGATACTTGAATATAGCTACCATGCCTTCATGGCTTTGTCTGTTTCAAAAGAAAATATTCACAATTTCTTAGAAAAATCATTCTAACTCTATCAAGTTTGCTGGGTCCTTTGCCATCTCTCTATTCAGACTCTGAAGTACTTTGGTCTAAAGAACAAGAGTATGCACAGCAGACCATCTGTGCTCTGTGCTTCCAGCATTGATGTTCAATGGTGACAATCCCACTTTCATATACCAGTATTAGGAGTCATTCTGTGCTGCCTGCAAAGTCCTAGGAAATGGAGTCAGACAAGGCAGCTTGCCAACTCTGTTAACCTGCACATGGCAATCTCTTCTGCTCCCAGTTTTGTGTGCTCAGTGACGTTATTTATCCATACACTGCAGCTTTGTTTTGAGATTAAAAGAAATGGTATCTACAAACCAACAGAGGTATTTTGTCATAGAGCTGTGCTAAATAACTTCTTTTTTTTCCTTTTATAAAAAGTCAATTTTTTTCACATAACATATCCCTTCCTCCCAGTTCCTGTCCACCTCTCCTTCCATCTGGATCCATTCCATTTCTGTCTCTCATTAGAAAAACAGCCATTTAAGGAAATATAATATAATAAGTATAGTATAGTATAGTATAGTATAGTATAGTATAGTATAGTATAGTATAGTAAATAAGATAAAACAAAAACTAACATTGAAATTGAATAAAAACAAACAAAAGGAAAGAGCCAAAGAGAAGACTCAGAACCCACTCACTCAAACAATCAGGTATCCCATAAAAAACACTAAATTGGAAGCCATAGTATATATGCAGAGGACCTGGTACAGACACATGCAGACCTATGTAGACCCTGTGCATGCAGACCTCCATCTCTGAGTTCATATGAACTTTGATCATGTTGACTTTTAGGGTCTTGTTTTCTTGATGTCCTCTATTCACTCGGGCTGTTACATCTTTCTGCCTCTCTTCCACAAAATTCTCTGACCCATGAAGGGAGGGATTTGTTAGAATTAAATAAAAATGAAATATTGGTGGTTTCTAAAAAAAAAAAAAAAAAAAAAAAGAGAAAAAAAAACTTTGGCAGAGTACAGGGAATCATAAGAAAGAAGGGGAGTTAGTCTGATGAGGAAAGGATAGGAGCTCCACAAGGAAAGGACCAAATATATCTGGGCACAGGGTCTTTTCTGAGACTGACATGCAACCAAGGACCATGTATGAATGTAACCTAGAACCTCTGCTCAGATGTAGCCTGTGGTAGCTCAGTAACCAATTGGTTTCCCATAGTGAGGGGAACAAGGACTATTTCTAACAGGAACTCAATGACTGTCTCTTTGGCCTCCCCACCCCCCCAAGGGAGGAGCAGTCCTGTTAGGCCACAGAGGAGAGCTTTGCAGCCAGTCCTGAAGATACCTGATAAAACAGGATCAGATGAATGGGGAGGAGGTCCCCCCTATCAGTGAACTTGGCAAGGGGCACGGTGGAGAGGAGGGAGGGAGGGAGGTTCTGGGAGGGAATGAGGGATCGGGACACGGCTGGGATACAGAGTTAATAAAATGTAACTGATAAGAAAAAAATAAAATAAAATAAAATTATGGGCTAACAGTTAAATATATTTTTACACAAAATTTCACTGGAGTCTAGTTTCTATCATTTTTTATTGCAATCTATCTTTTTTTCAAGTGGAACACATACTTCATCTTCTACAAGCTTTTCTCTGTCTTTTTGTCTGTCATTGCCACTGTCTCTGTC